CCATGAACTACCAATAGAACAAAGAAATCAGTCTTGGCAGAAGTACAGCCAAGATGCCCTTTAGAAACAAGGATGGTGAGACTTTCTACTATACTACTTTGAACATGTTATCAGGAGAGACCAGTCCCTGGAAAAGGACATCATGAGTGGTACAGTAGAAGGGCAGTGAAAAAGGCGGCCCTGGACAAGATGGATTGACACAGTGGCTGCAACAATGGGCTCGAACATAAGAATAATTGTGAAGATGGTCCGGGGCCAAGTAGTGTCTTGTTCTGTTATTCATAGGGTCACTATGAGATGGAACGGTTCAATAGCACCTGATGGCAGCAAGTATTATAAGTAATCTGGAGATTTAAAGTACACAGACCAAGAAGACTTGTTGGTTATAAGGAAAAATAACTATGTGTCATTTAGCATATAACTCAGTCAGGTTTCTTTTAAAAGGGAAAGCAGTATTCCCTTTGTTTACTTCCCCTAATGGTTTTTAAAATCCCAAGCCAGATTCTTGCAGCACTGGATCATAGGTGCGTTACAGGAAGTTAAGCAGGGGGCTTGGCTCTGAGTGCAGCCTCTCTAGGTTGGTCTAGTGGCAGGTAGTGGGCATGGCCAGGAGATGCTCCTGTTGCTCAGGTGGGGAGAATATGCAGAGCAGCTGTACTCCATTCCATCTCCTCACTTCTCGATCTCCTCCAACTGCATGCCACCAGTTCTTCTGGTCTCTGCCAGGAGGCATCAGCACCAATAAGAATGACCAGACATGGTCTCTCTTAAGATTTTAATATCATTAAACATCTTAGTTCACAGACTATATTATGGATGTTAAGCAAAGCGTATCTATGCTATGCTATTTTACACAAAGGATGTGTGCATTAGTGGATTTTGTTATCTGTGGGGATCCTGGGACTAATCTCTCTCAGATGTCATGGGATGGTTGCATACTATTGTACAGGGCAGATTACATGCTTAGACTTTAAATTATACCCTATCTAAGACTGTACCTTCAAGGGGTCCTGATGGCTCAGTGGTTATTCATTGAGCAACTAATCACAAGATCAGTAGTTCAAAACCACCAGCCACTACATAGGAGAAATACAAGGCTTTCTACTCCCATAAAGAGTTACAGTCTGGGAAACTCACAGGGGCAGTTCTACCCTGTCCTATAGGGTCACTTTGTGTTGCAATCAACTTGATGGCATTGAGTTTGGGTTTTGGTTAACTCCATGAGGACAAGGACTTTCTTTCATTCAATGTATATCCCCACTATCTACTACAATGTCTGATCCTTAATAAGTATCCAATAAATAATTATTGAAGAAATTGATAAACAAAAATTCTATCATATAAACAATAAATTAAGAAATTTTCATCTTTAAAGTTACATATTATCCTAGTATTTCACATAAACTTTAATGCCCTCTCTGAATATATTTATTCATAAACAAGGCTATTTTTGTATGTTGGGCCTCTAACCACAAGGTCAACAGTTTGCAACCAGCAGCTGCTCGGCAGGAGAAAAGACAAGGCTTTTCTCCTCTCAGGAAACTCAAAGTGGCAGTTGTACCCTGTCCCGCAGGGTTCCTATGAGTTGCAATGGACTCCATGGCAGTGAGTGAGTTATTTCTAAAAGGCCCTCATCTGTATTAGTCATTGATTCAAACAAAATGTTAGTTAAATTGAGTATTTGTTGACCATATCAACTAAAAAAAAGGTCTAACACTACCATTTTGACAAGACTCTCACTTACTTCACATTTTACCTTGCACTCATACACTTTATTTGAGTGTCCCAACTATAGCAGTGACAGCGAAAATACAGATCTGGACGAGACAAAGGTAAAAGGAGACCTATAGGAGCTGCCACTTGCTTGAATGGAAGGTGCAGACTAGGAAGTGCAGTGAGGAGGCCCAGGAACTCTGAGAGCAGGAGTGAGGCCTGAATGAGAGACCGCTTCTAAGGATCTCCACAGAGAAGCCAGATGGGCTCTCAGGAGCCAACCTCTCCCAGAGTACTACGAAAACCAAATTTGCCAGAAGCCACATTTGGAGGGAGCAAAGGAAAGAATGGTCAGGAGGACTGGATAACTAAATATTATCCCAGAGCACAGTATTTCAAGGAGACCATCACTGGTATCACAAACTCAAAGTACAAACAACTGGGGGGTGGGGAGGGGAAAGGATGAGATTTAAGGCAACCATTAATAGTATAAATATCAGATTTCAGGATGTTGAATGGGGCATTAGCAAATACAGAACATTGTTTTCAATGTGTTGGTACTAAGAATGAAATTATTTACTTTGTGTAGAAGAAAATAAACTGGGATTACCAACACCACCACCACAATGGATTCTGAATTATCAGTTGGAAAATTCTACGAGTCAGTAAAGCAAATAAACAATGAATTCCTAAAATATTAAATAACCCTAAGAATTCATTTGAAGATACAAAAATAAAGCCCTGTACTTACAATACTGACAGTAAATACCTAATGTCACAATAGATAGTTCAAAAAACAGCATATGGTCTATGGCTATTTGCCAGTATGAAGATTTTCAAACTTTTTGTGGTAATCAACTAGACCAAAATACACATAAAATTGAGAAACATTTAACCACTGATCCTAATCAAACTCCCAATAAATAGGAGGCTGAGGTCAGCTTCCCTTTCATTTTAAGAGTCACAGTCAATAAT